CCCATATATATATTTACAATGCATGTATATTTCAAATACATATCTACTCTGACAGACATGATTCTTGGATTCAAAAAATTTTGATAAATTCAGATAAACAGACCTTATCTATCACAAAAATGGTTATTCTATTTTTCTTAAAATTGCAAAAACCGGATTCTATTTTCACAAAATTGTGAGTAGATATTTCACAAAATCAGATTTTTGTGAAAGTGGGCAATAATCGCCTGCAAAGCACATAAATTATTTGAATGTACACCACAATGTGTTTTGCATCATGCAGTGCGAAATTAGTATTTTTTGCTAAAATTTTAGGTTTTAAACAATTAAGAAGATTTCTTATAATAATAATGTGATGTATTTTCTTTGAAACAACAGTGAAAACATTTTAAACATTACAAAGTTCTTTGCAAAAGTGAAGAAAAATTTAATAATAACATGCTTGAAATTATGTGATTTTCGGAGTATTAAAAAATATTCATAATAATTTCCATATTTATTAAAAATAATTAAAAAGCGTTTATGGGGCGCATTTTTGACAAAAAAAAAGGAATCAGATGCCGACTTTCAGGCAATTTTTTTATAGTCATTTATTACATTTATTCGCCCTGTGGCCAGTAGTAACTATTCACTTCATTGTAAATGGTGCATATATTTTGTGTTTTGTTACAACATAAAAAAAGCTACAACGGATTATTTTCGATTAAAAAAAAAAACTTGAACCTATTAATAAATAGCGATTGTACCTGGATAAACAATAGGGTTGCCATGTCGGAAAAACACTAATCCGGGAGGGTTCCTGACTCTGTATTTTTTGGCCATCAAAAAATCCGACATCTTTAAAAGTTGCACCTCATAATCACTGCAGTCATCATCAATCTGTTCCAAGTGTTTCAGAATATCTTTACTTTCTTTGTCATTTTCTTTGTCTGAAAAACATTTATTTTTAGATTCTGCGTCACTCTTTATTTTCCTATTTGTAGAACCTGAGAACTTAACTTATTTTGGCAAAGTCGTGGCACTAGACAGAAATGGCACCAAGAATAGTATAAAATACTGAAATTTCTTTTCATATATGGCACTGAATTCAAATGCGTTAAGCCTTATATTAGGGCTGTGTTTTTCAATCCACGAGAGCAGTAATTGAAAACTGTAATTGTACGTTAGATGTAACAATGTTTAGTTCAATCATTGTGAAGTGTGCTTACCATCAGGCCCACCCCTGACCTTATTCTAGATTGTCTGGGGCTTTCCAGACAAGATCTTTTCACAATCCCAATTCTAGTATTAGACATTCTTAGGGTGACAGATTTAACGTTACTAAACAACGGAGATATTGAACAACAACGTTTTGTTTGTAGTCTAATATTTTGAATTTTTCAATTTTTTCGCTTTCATGTTTTTTCTTAAATTTTTTGACTGTCGGGTTTGCCGTCTTTTTGATTTTTAGTAATTTAACGTAGTAGTTTTACTTAGTATATTAGTATATTTATAGTATATTTATTAATATGTAGTTTTACTTAGAAATAGATTAGAAGAAAGTAATTCCTTAAATGAGATAAAAAGTATTTTTTAAACAGAATTTAATTTCTTAATTTAAATTATTATTTTTAATTATTAGATAAAACATTAAAAAAATTAATTCTTAACACTTTTTCACATTGTAGGATATTTTTATGATGTATTTCTTCCCATTTTGATAATAATGAAACAAAATTTACTAGACTCAAATTAAAAGATCAAGTATCTTTTGATGATAAAGCTGTCCAAAGCTTTACTTGAATAAAACTTCGAACCTTTTTAATAATCTTTCATTGTAATTAATTGATCCGACCCACGAGTACAAATTCAATTATATTTTCATTTAAACGATTGCTTTATAAAGGCATACAAACATAAAAAATAAACTTAAAATGTTATATTTTAAGTGATGGAATTATACCTCCAATATATATCGTAATTTGGGTCTATGGACGAAAATATTTCCCTTATTAGTTTATTTTAAAGTCAATAAAACATTTAATACGGATTTTAGAAAGTTTATACAGAAGAACTTCAGACAGAGCAAAAATTAGTTATGCATATGGGCTAATTATCTCAATGAGATCCTGACAGAAATATATTTGTTAATACATTCGTTACAAAATACCCTTATAGAAATATATTCGTTACAGAAAGACTTCTGGTTGTTCAGATGAAATGGCGAATTTCAAATCCGGGACTACGACAAAGAGTCTTGTTGTTCACAATGGATGCACCTTCAGGTAACGGGCATTCCCCGGAATACACTTCTCTGATAGTATTAGCCTCTATATCACGTGCGCTCGTGAAAATATCGATAGTTACGGTTTTGTGCAGATTACGCTTGTGGTTTAGACATTCGTGATTTCATCCCGGGATATAGGAACTTAGCATTGACTGCAACTTCTTTATCTCTTTTAATGCTTTTTTCAAACCGGAATAACGTAGTTGAATCCAGTATTTTGAAATCTATTGAAAAAAAAGTGCTGTTTGATAATCAGGACAGCTTATGTTGGAGAGTTCATTTGAATAAGAGAATTGAAACTTACAGAAATATATGGCCAAATACTCTTGCTCTTCAATCATGCGGAACAGCATATCCCTGTTTATGTTTTCAATGGTGTCTTCTGTCTTTTGCATGACCAGCCACTCAAGGAGTTCATTCTCATTCATGAGGTCACCTGAAAAAGTCAACTTCACTTAGTCGTTGAATGCAATTTGAATTCAGGGTGTTCTGCAAAAATCACCCTTAATACCAGCGGAAGATTGGCTGATTTCAAAATGAAAAAACTCGATAACAAAGGAGCGTAATGGGATTGAAACAGACGATATGTTTATTATAAAAGTTTTAAAAATTTTATACCAAAACTTCGGATTTCAGATAAAAAAAATTATCAGCAGATGGCGTTGTACAATGAACAAAGTTCTTAATAAGAATACAAATGCCGTAGAATTTTATCTAATCTCAAATTTTCTAGTTGCACCAAAAAAAAAAAAGAAAAGAAAAGAAACACACGGTGTTCAATAGAATGCATGATGCCTAATAATCCGGTACAACAACCTCTTTCCATTGTAAGCTAAAACCGATAGCTCTGGTCATCAATGACTTTCAGCGTCTACTTTTTTAACTAATTTTTAAAATTTCTGTCTGAAATATTTATAATTTAATCATAAAATGTACCGTTTGTTTCCTTTATTTATATCACCTTCTTTTACGAGATTTTTAATTTTGAAATCAGTCTGCCTTTCACTGGACAACCAGTATATATTTTTAGAATTCTTCTCAAAAATAAAATAAAAAAGTATAACGATGTGGCTCACAAATTGATATTTAATCTAGAGAGTAACGTAAAACGAAATCTGTCGAATCACTAGTGAATAAGGTGGGACGAAAGATATAAAAACCACTCTGATTGTCTGTTGAAACACGGAGGCGTTTTAGTGTGTTTAGATTCTTTTCTGTCTTGTCACGCAATCAAACAGGTTTTGATGTTTTCATTTCTGTTTTCCTCACTAGTGTTTTCTTAGGCTCCGAATGCGGCTTTCACTTTTCCTCACTAATATATATTAACAGTCTACATAACCCTAATCACGTAGAGCTAAAAATACTACTTTTTAAAAGTTTGATAACTCAGAGGCTATTCGAGCGGCTGCACTTAAACCTTTTACTTTGCCATTTTAAAACCCATTCTTTAGAACGATGTAAAAATTTGTTACCTTGTAATAAAAGGTATGTAAAAGTATGTTGAAAAAACGTATGTTTACTCAGAGAAAATGCATTTATTGCATTCATTTCGTTACTTAAAACACTGAAATTCACTCATTAATTGGAATATTCAAGGCGAGTCCCGCGAACCGTTAAGTGGAAATCTGATAATTATATGAAAAAGTTTTGATATAAAATTCCGTAGTTTTCCTTCTTTTTCGCGTTGAAGCAGATGTTAAACGTTGAGAATAAAATAAAATAAATCACATTTTAACCTGTTTTGTATCAAGCGAGATAAACTTAAATTGTATCTTTTTACCTCATTCGTATAATTATGTTTGAGTCTCTGAAATAAACTGTTTTCTGCTTAAAAGAGGGATAGAATAATTACCATCGTAAATGCTGGGTATCATGTTTTCGAAGTAGACAAATGATGGGACGACAGACACTCCCAGTTCGGCGGCGAATTCTGTGTCGTCAGTCTTCAGCATCTGAACTCCATATCGATCCGAATCATCGTCGATATTTTCCAATTCTTGCAAAATAGAATCACACATAGTGCAGTTTTCATCATCTGTTGGAGAAAAGACTTGGTTATTCAATTATTGTAGTGCAGAATAAGAAAATCTCGCTACTGGCCAGATGTTTTACAACGGCCACTTTTTAAATCGCGTGGTTTCAAAAATTGAAACTTTTAAACGGTTGAAAAACTGTTGATATTATTAATGTCATTTCTTTTTAAGTGTATCTGTGCAGATAAGTTTGTTTTACAGTGTCGTCAACTCTCTGATGTTATTTCTCTTTTGAGTGGATCGATACCGTTATAAGAAACCATTTTAGATTCAGCATATTATACATTCATTCTCTAACAAACAATAAGGATTCAATCCAGAAATAGCATGTTTTTGTTTTGACCGAGTAAACGACCGAAGTTTTTCGGTAAAGACCGAGTACTACCTTTACCATATAAGGCGATTGAGAATGTCAGGACAAAGAAACGAAAAGATAATTTCTTTTTTAAATGTTCGATCAAGAAAAAGAAAAATGTTTTCCAGTAACTCAAAAAAGAAAGAAAAAGAAGAAATAAAGGAAAACTGAAAATAAGATGACCAAAAAGAGACATCAGATGCCAATTATTTGTATTGTAATGATGTATTTTCAAGCTTAAAAAAAAAGAAAAAAAAATGATGAGAGAAGTGGATCGAAAGTGGAAAAGGGTTTTTGCTCGGCCCTCGAAAGCTGCAGTGGAGGGGATGAAGGAGATAATTACTTCATACGTGAAATTTAGATAAAATATTCTTATAAAATAAAGATGTGAATTACTTTTTCACTGAAATTCTGGTATTTCTAAATATCCTGTAGAACTTATGGATCTATGACTTATGCGAAAATTATACTCCACTAAACATTGATTAAATCTGATAGTTTCTGTGTCAAACCGACTTTCAAATTTTAGCAACTCGGCCTTAATCCACTTTCTCTTTTTTTTAAAAAAGTATTTTATGTAACTAAATTTTTATATCTGTAGAAGTTTTATCCCGTACCTAATTTTTAACAATTTTGTATTTCATCTGTTTCAGTTGAACTGAATTTTTTTATCTACATTTTTTCAATTAGCTGATGTTTTATAAATTTGATTAAGTTTGATTTCATGCCTCGTTTCATAAAACAAAAGAATTTAATTCAATATTATTAAATAAAAAAAATTTTTGGCAATTTTTTTTTCTTCAAAGAATTAAATTTACATGTCATAAAAAAGCAGAATTTTTTAAAGTTATAAGAAGTTTGAAATAGTAATCATTCTACTAATAACTTTAAATTGTTGATAAAATATACTTTGGATAATTATTTCAATTCTGTCGAAGTTTAAGACAAAGTAAGCAGAGCTACTTCGTGAAGAATAGTTCATAACAACGTCTTCTTCTTATGATTTCTTAAATTAAATTTGTTCCGCAGTGGACTGATCGTAAAAGCGCGGTTCCCAGGAGTCAAGCATCACTGGTGGGTGGGTGACCACTTTGATCAGCCTGCTTAGGGACCGAGGGTGCGCGGTATTGATCCTCGTTAAACTGTTCTACCGTAAGGGGCTTGACTTCGCGTGCAGGTCATCGGGCTACCAAACCAGGGGAGCTATCCCCTCTTCAGAGGATTAAAATTGCGATGGCATGTCTTTGGATCCTCCTCGCGGATGTTTCTCAGACCGCCGCCAATAGCCCATTATGCAACTCTAGTGCGACGTAAATGAAATAACTACCTACCAACTTAAATTAAATTTGTTTCGGGCTGAGTGCTCGGGTGTATAAAAAAGGTTGTGTAACTAATATATGGCGAACTTTGGCTAATTTGTCATGAATAAGACCACGTTTCAAAATTAGTCTTAAGCCATTTCCTTCAGTTATTTTAATTAACCAAGTGTGTGAATTATAGGTTAAGTTTTTAACTTCGCCTCAAATTTCACAAACTCTTATTTGAAGTAAAATAACGATGAATATGATAGCCCAAATGTTAAAATTTTCAAGAAGATGTTCATTTATATGCAAAAAGTGCTTCTGTAATATCCGGTTGACCATTTTCATTTAAACCACAAAATGGAGCTAAACAACGCGATTTTTTTACAAACAATGAAAAACTATATGCCAGATACGTTGTTATTTTTTTAAGATTTTTCATTGGGTGAGATCTTTGCTTTTGAATTTTTGGAGAGGCCTCAAAGAAGTGCTGCTACAGTCGTTCAGAAACCGCCAAAAAAGTTTAATCGGTTTTAATAATAAATGAGAATGACATCTGTTCTCTTTTAATGAAGGAGTGCTCGACTTCGCGTGCAGGTCGTCGGGCTACCGAAGCATTGGGTGACATCTCCTCTGCAGAGGATCAAAATTGTGATGACATGTTTTCGGATCATCCTCAGGGATGTTTCCCAGACCGTCGCCAATGCCTAATGTGCAGCTCTAATGCGACGTAAATGAACTACAACAACTTTTAATGAAAAACGAAAAATTTTGCATTAAGTTAAAAAAATTTTTGGAAAGCAAAATTTTCATTTTAATACAAAATATTTACCAATGATGCACAGACTGTATTTTCTATTATAATTTTTTTAATCAAAATAAAAAACTGATGTCGAATATACATTTAGAAATCGGGAATCTGATTGGTACATTTCAAGCAGAACAGATCCAGTAAAAACGTTCCTTGAGTTTCTAGAAATCGTTATTGCATTTATTATTCTTTAAGCTTTTAAACTTCCTTGTTGAATTTGTTTCATGATAGAATTATTTAAAATATTGATAGAATAATTGTTATTTGATAAAGAATAATGACGTTACTTGGAAATTATGAACTGGATCGTTCGAAAAATCAGCAGTCAAACGATTGCTAACGCTTTAAAAGTTGAAAGATTTCGGAGAGAGCCCCAAAAGCACCGTGCCACGGAACTCACTCACTGAAATAGTTATTTTTTGCTGTTGAAGTACTTTTACATTAGTTACATGTGCAAATAAACTGTGCCGGAATTTTTTTTAATCATCTGTTCTAAAACATTCATTTCAATGTTTTTATAAAATTAGCTTTTTTAAAAAAAAATATGTACTGGTTACAATCTGAAATGATATGGTGATAATTTGGTGAAACTTTCTTTGTCCACTGTATTTTACACTGGTATTGGTAAAAATTATAAAAATCAAGAAAATGAAACATACAAAAGAAGACGGCAATTGTTTGCTCTTCAAGCAAGACTTCCAGCACTTTTCTGTCAACATCTTCGATGACGCTGTCAGGTCGATCTCTGTTTTCAATCAACCACTTCAATATCTCCTCCGGTTGTTTCAAATCCCCTGATACACAACAAACATAACGTGAAACGGTATTGATAAAGTTAAATATTATACAGGGCACTACTCAAAAAATGGAAAAATCAAGTTAAGAGTAGATAATTCTGAATTCTATTGATATTTACGCTATATGTGTTACTGTGAAAGACTAAAATCTGGAGAATGTCAAGAATCACATTGTCACTTTTTTGAATGTCTGAAATATTAGTTATATGCAAATTGATATTAATTTATGGATTGAAATTTCAATATTTATTCGATCTTTTAATATCGGATTCAGAAAGATTAGGAAAAACCAGGGTAGGGAATACCAAACTATGTCGCATCACTTTAAAAAATTAGTGTAGGGAATACCGGGTATTGCAGAAAATACCGATTATTATCCCCATACCTCTCATCTATTTTAATTGGATATTAAAATATCGAATAAATATTTAAATATATCGATGGAGAAATTAGTATCAAAACAGATCTAGCACATATTTTGGACATTTACCAAAGCGACAAGGTGATTGCTCTCACTCACCGGTGAAAGTCAACAATTTCTAAATTGTCACTATGATAAATAATCGATTTTTCAAAGTGACATATACACTCAATATTCACTATTTATGCAATATAATTTCCTACTTAAATGAAAATAACTCTCTGTAACATTTTTTCATCGTCAGATTATTTAAAACAATAAATTTATCTGAAAAACTATCGCCGTAGAGCGCGTTACATGATTAAGAGAATCCTATATTTCACTTCTAAGAAAATGATATTTTATTACTGAAATATCTCATAAAATCATAAAAAAATGCTTGAACAATTATTTAAAAGATAGATGAATAAGCTTAAACTTACTTTACTCTAATCCAATTTTTGTTATAATAATAGTGCGGATTCATGCGTTACATTTTAGGACATGTATCCAAAAGCTCAATAGCTTTCTTCTAAAAATCAATCACACACATGAAAATATAACTTATTTATTGCTACCATTTGTTAAGGGTATTATCAAGTAACCGTCCTATTTAAAATTTATGCTTTTAGATTCTATTTCTAAAAATCTAGACCTCCGGGTCTGTATAGTATAATTAGAGATAGATCTGTTCTAGAGGGTCTATGAATGAATGCTAATTTCGAAGATTTTAAAAATTAAAAGATGATTTTAAATTACGTTTTAGTGATATTGAAAATGTGAATGTCCTAAAATGGATTTTCTCGTCACGTTTCTCCGAAGTTGAAAGTATCAACTATTATTTAAAAGATAAAGTCACTGAATTATTAACTAACTTCGAAGAAAAAATGCTTTTTAATAATCCAACTGTGATTCAAATTTAGAAGAATATGAATATTACGCATAAGTATCGTACTGCAACATTGCTTCTTCTTGTTTGAATTTCCATGGTTGAATCTAGCTCTAGNAAGGTCAAGTTATCTGGAATGTCAATTTATCCAAGGGTACTGTGTTTTTTAAATGAATCAAATATGATGTTTGTCAGTTCGACAATCAAGTCAGTGATTTATAGAGGTTTCTGCACAGAAATCTGAAAGGGGTTTACCATTTAGGTGGATGAACATAATTGCGTTTAACGCTTACGTAATGTGTTTTTTTGTAAGTTCATTGCTGAAAAGTTCCTTTCAACTGCTGCAGTACTCCTAGACGCAAAAAACATCAATCTACCATGCGCATGCGCAGTATGTTGCTGTTCTAGATTAGAGGGTCATTTTAGAAGTGAGGCGCTGGACTCTTGTAAGATAACAAAAATGTTGCTGTACGGCAGTATGGGCGGACGGGCTGTTTTTCGAGCCCTGAACCGTCCTATTTAAAATTTATGCTTTTAGTTTCTATTTCTAAACATCTAGACCTCCGGGTCTGCATAGTATAATTAGAGATAGATCTGTTTTAGGGGGTCTATGAATGGATGCTAATTTCAAAGATTTTAAAAATTAAAAGATGATTTTAAATTACGTTTTAGTGATATTGAAAATGTGAATGTCCAAAAATGGATTTTCTCGTCACGTTTCGCCAAAGTTGAAAGTATCAACAATTATTTAAAAGATAAAGTCACTGAATTATTAACTAACTTCGAAGAAAAGATGCTTTTTAATAATCCAACTGTGATTCAAATTATAAGAATATGAATATCATGCATAAGTATCGTACTGCAACATTGCATCTTCTTGTTTGAATTTCCATGGTTGAATCTAGCTCTAGTTATTTTTTTTTCTATTTTGATAAAGCAGCACCAAATTGAATGTGGAGCTCCAAGGCAATTTAAGACTGAACCTAACAAATTTCGAACCCAACATAGTTAATCTAATCAAGCGTCCAAAATAGCATTTATACAAAAAAAAAATCAATAAAAAAATAAAAATTCAATGTTTTATATCCATCTTAATGATTGACATAAAATTATCATTTTAATTTAAGGGGTCGATAAGAAAATTATAAAATTCTCGCGGATCGATAATCATCAACGTTTGGTGGTCCTATTTAATTAGACATTATTAAAAAAAATCTTTTGTTACATTGGTTCAGTTGACATCATAAATGACCGAAATCGGCGTTTTTGGTTTAATTTTTTATTTCTTTGTTTACTTTTTTAAGGAATTTATAGAAAGCTGTTGCGATAATTCATTCTTTCACTGGAGAGATTATAAATTTATTCCAAAAATTAAACAGAAATTTAAGTTTAAAACTTAATTGTCATCAGAAATAAAAATTTAGATCTGTGTTATACACACATCTTTCGCGAACTACCTTTCAATATACAATCTGTGTCCTCAAATCTTTATCCTTAATAAATATTTTTTAAAACAGTTTGCAGATCAGGATTTATGAAAGCATTTTTTTTCCCAATTGAATACTTGCACTTCAAGAAGAAGAAAACTTCTCATACCCACACATGTGACCAATGACGTCAGCTAATCTTTATCAGCAAAATGGCGCAAAGTTGAGCTAAGTTTCTCCACATAAATTAGAATGTTAATTAACGATAAGTTAATGAAATACAGAGACGTATCGCACATCGAATGAGTTGAAATATATTTCTTTCTCGTCTACTTCTTTTACTTACTTAGATTTACTATTTATTCATGCTTTTTTTATTGTAACCGTGATATATTTTTGTTTTGTGTACCTGGCAACTTCGATGCATCATTAGTTTATGTTCTACATGACTTAATGCCTGTCTTTGTGTTAAGTCTCTGTGTAAATATATAGTGAAAGAATTGAAATCTTTGTGAAAGAATTTAGAATGTGTCACTTAGGTTGAGAATTGATACCTAGAGGGTTTAGCTTACTTGAACTAGAATGGAAAGAACAGTTTCTAACGTAAACAAATACCATGTTTCAACAACCCATGAGGATTGAGATACCTACACTTGCAGGTATCCCATTTCAGAAGTTGTTGTTGAAAATTAAAAAAATGAAAACTAATCACCGATGTATGTGAAAGGAGATCTTTTGCGAAAGAAGAGGAGGGTTGGAAACTGAGTCACATTGTGAATCTCTGCCACTTCAGGATTGGACACCTTCACGAAATCCACGTGATTCTCCTCTGCCTCACCGTCGATGCTCTCTAAAAGCTGAAGAACTTCTTCACACAGCTTGCAATTTGTTTTCTTATCTGAAAATAGAACTATTATAAACACGGAGAGAAATGTACAAATTGTTATTTAAATAATGCCTTATTAGAACCCTATTTCGTTTTTATTCTGGACACAGGCAGGTTTAACAAAACAGCTCGCAATGTGCCTTTTCAATGTTCAACCCGAGCTTAAAAACCAAACGGATTTCGTATTTGAGGCAACGAATATGGAAAACAGAAGAAGTTTTCAAATATATAAGCAGATGATGGTGAATAAATCCTTTCCTTTATACAGAGGGGCCATATCAAACCTTGGGGGACCGGTTTACATTATTCCTACAGAAACTAGCCCCCTATTAATCTACTTTAGTAAAGGTGGCCGTGTATATTACAAATGCAAACTGTCAGGTGATTTCTTCGTATACAGGACACTCAACTATATAGCGGTTTAAGAAAAACTAAATACATACGACGTTAATTTTAATGCCACCATTATAAATGTATTGGACCAGTAACATTCTTGTAAGAAGAACTATTGTAATTTAAAATCTTTTAAAAAAAAGACTAATTTCTAAAAAAAAGAGTTAAATTATTTATGCGGATGAACGACTTAGGAAATGAATTTAGATCTATTTTTTAATTCTTTAAAAAAGAACAATTTTCGTAAGATAAGTTCGAAAAACAAAATCAAATGCTACGCTCATTTTCTTAAATGGAACCGTCCAATTTCTTTAAACACGCATTTTGAACTGTGTCCAAAATAAATAGTTCAACAGCGATTTGTTTATTTTGGGATATAGAGCTTCTAAGTCAAAGTAGAGAATTGTTTTTTTTTTCTTTTCAATTTTGTCTCACTTACGGTACCCTCTACTTGAAAGCAGAAATAAGGTAGATGTGTCTCAGTAAAAAGACTTGTAGGATTATAAAAGTGAGGTTAGCTAAATGTTTTTAATAAACGGAGTTAGACCAATTTAAATTAGGCTTTGATACATAAAGTGAAAAATACTTTTACTTAAAGTAACATACAAAACATCTTAGAAACATGCTAGTTGTTGAACCCTGTGTTGAGCGAATAAAAAAGTATATGTGGTAAAAAAATATTCTCCAAAATAAATATTTGTGCTATTACTATTTTATAATCATTTTTTGATAAACAAAGTGATATGTTTCTACTGATATCTTTTCTTAGACCTGAAATAACTTTCTGACCTGGTAACTGGAATTAATTCCTCCCTTCTGGTAAACTTTAATTCGATTTATCAAAATGCAATCTAGACGAGCAATTCCTCCAAAAACACGTACTTATTCACAGCTTTCATAATAATAATTCGTAACGAACAAAATTTGCTAGTATCAAAGGCAATTACACTGATATCTAATATTTTTTTATAGCTATTTTAGCTAACTAAGCTCCATTCTTTTTTTTTCTTTCTTAATTTAATTCTTAAATAATAGTTAGTTATATCCCTTTCGTAGTTTGTTCCCCCAATAATTCCTATTTCTTAAAAATTATATTAAATTTTGATTTATAATAATTTTAATGCTAAATAAATATCAAATTTATCAAAATAGATTTTTGAGGTTCAACTTACTAAAAGAAAATTTAATTATACAAAATTTAGTCTGCACCAAAAATGATGTCATTGTTAGCAACTGACGGATGATAGTCATCCATTTACTACATAAACTGCGATGAATTCGCATTGAAGTTACAACTTAATTTTCTTTCCATTCTCGTTGACTTTACATAATTTAGCTTTGTAACCCTGTTTAAAAACGCCACTTCGAAAAAGTTTTAAATAGCAAATATTTTAATGACTTATTCGATGAAAACTACTACAAGCCATGAAAATCATGCTAAAAAAATCCACTAAATCAATTTGGAAACTGATATTCGTCTGTCTTTAAAAAAGTTATAGTAATAGAAAACCCCAAAACAAGCATTTCTTAGTATGACTAAAATTTTGCAAGAAAAAAAACTGTTTGCTGAAAATGCGGCAAAAATTTGCCGAAGTGTCACCTTTTAGTGAGTCATACGTAAAACACTAGCATTTTTTGCGGAATGAACTAGATGTATAGAATAAGAACTGTGAACTCTAATGTAGTGAGACAGCTGTTTCCTGTGAGTGCATATTCGGTTATCCTCAACAACGAAGATGAAATCCCAAATCTTTCAACTTAAAGAGAAGGAGCCTTCTCGGTAAAAGTGATAAACCAGCCTCAAAAGTCTTTTATTGCATTCCTGTGTGAAAAAGTCCACCTAAATGAGTTGAACTTACAGAAGAAGACAGCTACAGAATGAGAAGTGTTCAGAATGTTCTCCAACATTCTCTTGTTGACTTCCTCGATTGCATTGGGGCTGTGGAGGACCTCTTTACTTGTCACCCATTGGAGAATGGCTCCTTCATCCATCAGATCGCCTAATAAAGAATGATGTATACATTTCTATGAGCACAATGTATACTGTTGTTTTTAAAAAGCAGCTTCATTCGAAATTACTTTTCATTTTGTTGGTTTCAAAAAAATTTAGTTAAAGTAATTTTATAAATTTAATAAAATATATATCACTATTGAATAATCCCTGCATTCGAGCTGCATTTTAATTCAATCGTAATGTTTATAATTAAATTGAGGGTTTAGCCATGGGCCTCCCCCTGGTGCCCATTGTTTATGATATTTTTATGCACTATTTTGAAGAAAAAGTTTTTAAATTGTTTAAATTCTCATGTGGAAAAGATACGTTTGCCTTAGAAGAGAGTGATACTGATTTTTAAAAGTTACTTTCTGTTGTCTTCTCTATTGATCCCACCATTCAGTTTACTATAGACACAGTTTTACTTTAGCTATTTTGAATAACCTTGCACCCTAATGATTTTTACATCTCTGTTTATCGTAAACATTTATCCATCTCTTTGCCCCCTTAAGTTAGTTCTAAACACCGTAATCGTCAGAAAATGTCTGCATTTCGTACTTTCATTTTCCGTGAACTCCTCTGATTCTTCTGAACCTAACTTCCTCCGCTGGCTTGCTACTAATCGTGAATTCAATTTTTATAGAGCTGATTCAACTCTTGCTAAACTCTCACCCCTCTCTTCTTCTGATCCTTACAGAAAACCATTTTTTCTCCCGTTTGTTATAAAATTCCTCTCCCGATTTTTTAAAGTCATTATTAGGCCTGTTTACAAAATCAAATTGAAGTCTCTTAAAGATCCTATTACATCAGATAATCAATTCGGCATTTATCACATTTCTCATCATGGTGATTTTGGCAACATCGGGCTAACTAAACCAACACCTTATAGAAGTATGAAGGCCTCAGCACGGATCAATTTAGTAGTCCGATGTGACGAAGTTAACTGCGCAGTTGATGAAAAATAAGAAAGATGTCATTACGTTCGGGGTACTAAGCTGCGCAGTGGTTGAAAATACAACATATGTTATTACGTTTGGACTACTAAAGGATATTTATGGTAACCCGTGCAGAGGCCTACTCTTTTCTAGGAGGTGTTGACTAAACGCGCTATAAAATTTGGACTCTAAGGAACATGATAGGTTATGTCCTTTATCAAGAATTCGAGAAACCTTCAATTGTTTCACATTGTTGGAATGTTGGGCATAAATTCAATTTCGCCAATGATAAAATGAGTAAAAAAGTAAATAGGAATGAATTAAAACACCTTCATATACCACAGGTTCTTCATTCCGGAAAAGTATGAGGGCAGGAAATTGAGTGACGTTAGCTTTAAACTTGGCGACATTCATGTCGTCAGTTGTCACCAGTAGGATTCCGTTGGCGTCAGTTTCGTCGTCGATGTTCTCTAATTCGGTTAGAATCTCCTGGCAGGGGGTGCAGTCATTTGGTGCTAGAATGATAAAAGATCCAGTTTAAAAAATTACATTTTTTGTTTTACAGTTGTAAACTATTATGTAATATCAATCGGAAAAAAAAGCCGTCGCTTTAAAATACATTATAATAAAGTTTATTTATCAGTAAATCATTTATTTAACAGTAACACCCGACATGAGATTATTTTTGAAAAAAAAAAATCTTTATTATTTTTTCTAGAGAGCCGTGATGGCTCAGGGGATAGAGCTTTCGCCTTCCGATGAAGTTAACCGGGTTCGAATATCAGCGATGGCTGGTCGATGAGCACCCGGCTTGCACCGACTACAATGCTGCCGTAAAATATCCTCTGTGGTAGACAGATAATAGGTTAGAGTTCCTTTACAGTCGGGCTAACCATGAGAGTGTTTCGTGGTTTTCCTCTCGATATAACGCAAATCGTGGTTAGCTCCATCAAAAAGTCCTCCACGGAGGCAAATTTTTCCCAATACCTGGTCCAGGAGTTCCATTGTCTTCTGGATTGGGCTCAAAATGACAAGGCTATGTAGTTGAACATTAGTATCCTCAAACCATAAAGAAATTGGGTCGGCTGTTCAACGACGGCTGTAAAATAATTCTTCTAACAGCAGAATATATATAATCAAGATTCTAAGTAAAAATAAGTGATTAAAAAAAACATTCAGTTGTTATTTGAAGATAAAAAAGTAAAATATTTTATTATCAATTTAGTTGTGAAACAAGTAAGATATAATTGCAACCATTTTAGAAATTATAAATGAATAATATTCAGTACTCATTCTCTACATTGTGTTTCCTGGATTTATCCTAATGTGTGATATTTTTAAAGATTACTTTGTAGTTAATACAGAATTTACACTAAAGCAAAGTATTTTCAATTAAAATATACCTTAAAAAAGTCCATTAAAAGTAATTATATAGAAAATTAAAAGAAAAAGTTCACAATTAATGTAAAAGTACCAAAGAAAGCCAAAACATATCCTTTGTCCTTTACAAGGGTTAATAGTATTTCTTCCGTTACTTCTTCTATGCTGTCTTCAGAGCTCAACTTAATCAACCACTGAAGTACCTCACCTTCCTTTGTCAGGTCACCTACAGTCAGAATTGTAAGAAATGTATTAACATAAATACAGTTACCTTTAAATAAAAAATAATGAAAAGGAAATTTTATGAAAGGATATCAAAAATACATAAATTTTAATAAACCAAGTTGTTTGCTTGATACCGGTACTGTAAAAAAATTTTGCGCTGCATTTACCTTACGCTAATCGTAACGATAACTGCATTTTCTGCTCTTTAGCGATTCTGTTATTTGAGGGTAAATTCTCCCTCATGTGCTGTACAGTTCTAAAAACTTCAGAGGGAAACCGTTGCACTATGAAAAGTGTTTTTGCTATCCTTAATAGAATATTGTTTCAAATTTACGCCGACAAAAATGTGGTTGTCAACTGTCGTATTATAAGTCACAGATTTAAACTCTGATCCCCTGAATTACCCATCCAGGAACACGCCGATTCACTAATTTACTGAGTCGTCCAATCTCTAATACGCTGATAATCCAATGACTTATTATAACTATCAAATATGAACCGATTCGTTTGTTTTCTTATTCTTCTTTCTTTATATTCTTCTTCATATACAGTTGCGGCATCACGAGTTATTTATGGAAACCAGGAATGAAAGTCAAACAGAAAAATATATATCTATATTATATAAAACGCGAATACGTAAGTATGTATGTATCAATAAAACCGATGATATTTCTTTTCTCGCGCTGGCAACAGTTTTCATTTTTAATTGATTGGATTCGGCGCGCAAGAGCACGTAGTGAGCAACCAGATAAAAATTTCATAACTGTACATTATC